TAATATATTCCGAGTTATGAATTTTTGAGTCTGAATATACTTGAAAATCGCTATTTTCTATGCTTCAATTAAGGATAATAATAATAATTTAAGGATATTTTACAAAAAATTATGAAATAGGTCAATAGGTCAAAAAATAAAAAAAACTACTCCAACTTTTTTTAATCATTTTTGAAAGGTTATTTACCATAAATTACAACTGCATGTTCAAAAATATTGTTTATTAGAAGCCAATATTTTGTGGACTAATCAGTTTCTTTCTTTTGTTCTTTTGGGTTATTATCAAAAGCGTACGATAAATACTAAATTTATTACATAAAAACAGTACTTAGGCCCTAACAAGTGGGTTTTTGGAGAGGAGATAACGAATAATGATAATCAATTTGGTCGTTTGTATCAGTGCGGACATTCATGATAGCCATTGAATTTATATTTTTGTGTATTTTGCAGAAAGGTTAGACTTTTAAGACACCATTTATTAAAAAAAATAGTTTGAATCTGTTTAAGTTATGATTATCCTACTTTTTTTTAGGTATCCTTGCCAGACCTAACTTGAAGCCTAGTGGTGGTAAGTAAACTTTAATTATTATTTGTTTTAGTTATTATTTATCATAAATTGTTATCCAAGTCTCGTAATTTTCATATAGTACTTAATCATCATCATCATCATAAGGTCATCAGTCCTAAGACTGGTTGGACACGTACCTCCACTCTTTCCTATCCTGAGCCAAACTTCGCATTTCCCTAAAACTAGAACAGCCCACATCCTTAACTATTTGCGAACAGTAATCTAATCTAGGTCTACCTCTACCCCTCCTAACTCCTGTTTCTTCCTCTAATATGTCTCTGACTAGACCTTCATGCCTGAGAAGGTGTCCTACCAATCTATCTCGCCTATTTTTTATTGACTTCCACAGAGTCCTCTGTTCTCCTATTCTTTCCAATACCTCTTCATTTCTAACCTTTTCTACCCACGATATCCTCATCATCCGCCTATAACACCACATTTCGAACGCTTCTAACCTTTTCTTTTCCGCCGCTCCCACTGTCCATGTTTCGCACCCGTACAACGCCGTGCTCCAAACATACACCTTTAACAACCTTTTTCGAATTTCTAAATTAACCGTTCGCGAGCATAGAAGTGACTTCTTTTTATTAAAGGCGACACGACCCTGCGCTATCCTCTGCTTTATATCC